GAAGTAAGACTCTCCAAGTAACGTTTTAGGAGACAAGAACTATTCATTTCCACGACTCTGCAATCGAAGTAAGCTAATTGGAAAAAACGGTGGTTCGCTGGATATTTAATGACAAGTTTAGTTAGCGAGATAACCACCGCAGAATCCCTCCTGAGTTAGTGGCGTGGGTGATATCATTATTAACCACCTTTCAATTTAACAAAAACGCCAGGTACCAACGGGGTGGTATCGACAAATGTAGGTGGATTGTACGACGGCTTTAGATCGCCTCAGGCAGTCCACCGGAAAATTTTGCTTACTAAGGCCCCCAACAAAAACTGGATAGTAAGGGACCTCATTTGTGCTTTGCGGTGAATACCAGTCCGTAGGGGAAGTGCTTCCACAACAACTCCGCATTTCACTAACGCCATGCCATACAGAAGCATAATTTGCAACAAAGTCTCAGAAGCTACACACTGAGCTTTATTTCGGTACCTCTGTCACCTCAGTCTGCAACGGTTTAGCCCGTTTTTTTCATTTTAGCGAGATTATTGAAAGACTGTAAAACCAAACCGCACTGGTTTGTGGTGAAACAGTGGGCTCTACAGAGCACATGCATCTTTGTCTGTGAGCTATTTTACTTATGGCAGGTGGCCATATGTATACTGTCGAAATGCGTTTTGAGTCTCCCCCACCTGTAATACAAATAACCTGAAAGGCATAACTTTTCAGAGACCCGGTGCCACGGGAGAATATAGCAAATCACCGGACAGCGGGTTAGGTGTGAGTGGACATTTTGCTACATGATGCGCTTGGTGCAGAGGTCTCGGGTGCCTTGCAGAATTTGGAGGTGTAGAGCCTCATGTGTCACCATCACGCACCTGGATTTATGGGGCGAATGGGCAATTTAGTGTTGTTCAAGAAGATACAAAACTAAGAAGTACCAACTTATTCGGAGATGGCCTTCCACCAAATCCCCAAAACGAGCTTGACCATGACAAATTCTGAAAAGTGAATTGGTGTTAAATTGTTCAGTCGCAGTTGCCGAAAGTTGGCGATTTGCAGTTGTCCGGTTGCGTTCTATGTCCGAATGTATTCTATCCCATTCATTCATAATATACTGACTTCAACCCAACCTGCGTATTGAAGGAACTAGCCTAGCAACATGTGCACCCTACCCATCAGACACACTTATCCTCGATTATGCTTATAATGCATTTCACTGACTGGATATTTCAGAAGGTTAGCCACTAGTTCGTTTATTCCGGAGTATGGATGTAGGGAATACTATAATGAGTTTCAGGCTTGATTTAGAGAGGGTCGCAGCTTATATTCATTTGCGGGACAAAATCCAAGCTTGAAAATTCGATAGTCGCCTTCGGCTTTCCAAAGAGATTAGACGGAACAACAATTGACTTGTCGAGTGAGCCTCCCACCCAAGA